GTCGGGAGTTAGCGTGCATTGTTTAAGTGTTCCCTTTATTTTTTGAGCAGTGTATTTTCAAACTATTTATTGGCAAATTTAGTCTAATAATTGAAAACATGGATGAAATATGAAACAAATAAAATAAAACACATACAAAGCAGAACACAGCTAAATGTATCAAAAGTATGTCTATGTAAAATTAGAATTTTCTGAGACAACGAATTTCGGTTTTTCTTTTCTTTTTTTTCCAGTAAGAGGTTTTTATTTAATAGAATTTTTGGACAAAAAAAATCGCAATATATCGCCTTGCTTACAGTATCACAATATATCGGGATATATCTTATCGTGACCCCTCAGTCATGATATGTATCGTATCACCAAATTCTTGTTAATACACAGCCCTAATCACAGATCTCTTTTTTAAGGGCAGCTTGGACCTGAAGTTAACCTACTGTACATGTTTTTGTGTTGTGGGGGAAACCGGAGTACCCGGAGAAAACCCACGCAAGCACAAGGAGAACATGCAAACTCCACACTGAAAGACAGGTCTGAACCAGGGATCGAACCCAGGACCTTCTTGCTGTGGGGCGTCAGTGCTCACCACTGAGCAGTCGTGCCGCCAATATATAGGTTCAGTCCATTTACCATTTTTTTTTAAATTTCAACAATCTAAGCATTTTTGTCTCCTTCAAACTATTTGAAAAATTTGACAATATTTTGAAGCAGTTTAAAAATGGTGTTGTTTGAATGTGAAGTATTCAGCATTTGATTCATCTAAGTTGAGATGATTTATTTAGCCACAGGGACCCATCCTGCACCAAACTGGACTGTAAAGCTTTCATGTTCGCTCAGCTTTTCAATCATTTGGTTGTTGTCAAATGAAAAAAAAATATGTCTAGATGACCTTCGCTGTCCTGCATTTCAGCACGCAAACACAACAAGCACTCCTCGCTCCCAGTCTATGAAACTCCCAACACTTGCTTACAGTAAATACTCAGTGTACTTGTGAGCCACAAGGTCAAGTCCTTTAACGTCAAGTAGCTGACTTCTAGTAAGGTCTGAAAAAGCGCGACGCCTTTCCCCATCACCTGAAGCGTACGTACCCGTTGCCGGCAGCTTTCTGTGGCCGCCTCCGGTGAAACTCGATCTCGTCTACCGTCCACACGGCTCCCTTCACGTTCTCCAGACGCACAAAGCATTTGTGCAGACTCAGGTTGTGTCTGACGGCATTCTGCAAGATTTCAAGACACGGATTTCAACCAAAAACGAACAAACCTAAGAATCTTTCCGGCAGCTTTCCGGCGTTTGCATTTATACCTTCCATGTGGCCGCGTTGCGTCTGAAATACGCAAAGTTTCTCGTGAACCAGTTGTAGATTTCGTTTAAAGTCAGCTGATTGCGAGGAGATTCAAAAATAGCCTGGAAGAGATGCAGATTAAAATGTATATTTATCTGTTTCATACTCATACAGATGAGGAAAAAGCTAAGGTTATGTGTTAATAAAGGAATATGTTACCTGTCTTATGAGAGATGCATATGTGAAAGGAGGTCTAACTTCTGTGCTCAAGTAGAACTCCTTATTATCAATTATATCTGTAGACAGAAATGAGACAACAAAGGTAAAGAATTTTTATCCAGGAAGTTGAGCGTGCTCTTTTTCTTTCTATAAGTCTCATCAGGTCATCGGTACCTTGGCTCACGGAGCGGCTGTATCGCCTCCTTACGGGGCTTCCGGTGAACATGTTACTGGGAGTGAGGACTGAGGGGGATTCGGAGAGGGGGGTCAAGGGTGTGGACGGTGCCGTGGCGCTCTGAGAAAGGCTCATCGGCGGGGGGGCTTTAGCCAGCGTCCCAGGGGGAAAAGTTACATTGGATGCCAGATTCACCTGGTCGAAAAGAGCAGTGTCACAA